GCTAATGTTATGCAAGTGGGCCAAGTTTCTAACAGCTATTGGACATGGAAAAACACTTGGAGACGTGAACCTTTGGGCAGGGAAGAGACTAAATAACAAAGGTTCAAGGAGAGCCTAATGAGGGGGGTGGTGTTCTCTTCCTAATTGGACCAAAGAAGATGGAGCTTTGACAATGCAATTGGATATACAGTTGGCAAGGCATACTCAATGCTAGCTGGGCAGAATAGTATTCTAACACCAAGCATTTGTAAAAGACTATGGAACAGAGTGGTGCCAACTAAAATCAGTTGCTTTGGTTGGCGCCTTTTACTTAATGGACTCCCAACACAATCTGGTCTTATGAAGAGGGGCGTCCAACTTGAAGAAGCAGAGGCAGTTTGCTGCATTTGCAAGAAGGATCTGGAGGATGAAAATCACTTGTTCGTTCAATGTTCAAGAATACAAAACTTATGGATGAGATGCTACAATTGGTGGGGGATTTCCCTATCTCTCACCAACTCAATTGATCTACTTTGTGAAGCTCATAGCCAAGGGATTAAACAGTTGGTAAAATTTGATCTTTGGTTCCTTATATTTTTGGTGCTTAAATGGTCCATATGGTATATGAGGAACTCTATTATCCATAATTCACAATGATGGGACAAGGGCAGGACTTTGATTTAAACCAAAGGAGGACCTTTGTTTGGATAAGGGGGAAGTATACTAACACAGTATTTCCTTTTTCCTCCTAGTGCATTTCTCCTTCTTTATGTGCTCAAGAAACTACTAGAAGATAGTATTGATGTTCATAATTTCAACTCCCTTTGTGTTATGATTTGTTTTTGGACTATTCCTGTTGAAGCTTTCATGTAATGTAACCTTGTATTTATAGGTGGAGTACCCCTTGTACTTCTTATTATAATAAAACCTTTGATTCATCCAAAAAAAAAAAAAACTCTTTAATTAAAAAACTTCATTTACTAACATATATTTAATAATATTAAATTTTATTAATTAATGAACTAGTTAGACCTCATAGATTAATTTAAAATTCACATACATAATCTATATAAATAGAAATTTTTCATCTAACTATTGGATTTTAAAAGTATTAATTTTAATATAAATTTCTGAGCAAGTCCAGCAAAAAAATTTGAGAAAATGACTTATAAAACACTTTTTTTCATATATATATATATGTGTGTGTGTATTTTAAGAAAAATGTATATATATATATATGTAAATCAATTAGTAAGATACCTTTGTCATCACAAATTTATTTTCTTTTTAATCAACCACAAACATTTTTTAATGTTTGAGAACTCTTATAGATAAATATATTGCTTGTATGTCAGGGAGGTCGATAAGGAAAGCATTTACCTAGGTTTTGAGTCTTTTTTTCTTGAAGAAAGGGGAACATAAAGAGGGTAAAGAATATACGTACATACATACATATATATAAAGAGAAAGATAAAAGATTGAAATTTTTAGGTGTTAATTGTAGGTTGTACAAACTACAAAATACCTTAACATTTATTGGAAATTATTTAACATTTTTCATGGAAATAGAATAGTTTTAGGAGGGAATTTTGATATAAATGAGTTTTATAGTTGGTAATGATTTTATTTAATCTAACTAATAATAATAATAATAATTATTATTATTATTATTATTAATTCAAATATCATATAAAATTACTATACTGAGTAAGCTCTTAAACTCGAACCAGAGATGAGTATAAAGATGTGTTTGGATTGCCTCCATAATACTTTTCTTAATAATTATTAATTTATTATAATTAAGTTTATTTTCAAATCATTTTATATAATATATTTTAATAATTGAAGTAATGTTAGTACATCTTCATTATAGGGTCATAATACTACAGCATCACAAAGAGGCAGATGCAATGATGTAAATTGCCTACTCAAACTCTCAAAGTCAGTTTCTTTTCCATTTTTTTGGTAGGAAAAAGGTTCACCAAAGAAACGGAGGAAGGGATTGAAGGCTGGACATTGGGCAACAATCGCAGCAACAACAGGCATCTTCGTGAGCAAATTTCATTTTCATTTCACTTCAACAGAAAAAGAAGGCGCCTTTGTCAAAACCATGACGTGGCCTCTATTCCCATCTCCCCCACTACTACGCCATTCCCGCAACCATCCATCGTCAACACGTCCAATCTCCCAAATTGATCGGGAGACAGCATTTTCATGAGCAAAACCCTCTGCTTTTTTGGGTTTTTGATGTAAAGTTTCTGTCTTTAGGTGATGGGTTTGGGTATAATTTGTAATGGGGGAATCGTGAATCAATGGTGAGAGTCTGTGAGGGGTGGGAAGTTGGGGTTTTTCTTCTTCCCTTTTGCTTTTGTTATTTATTATAGATAATAATGGGGAATGTGAATGGTAGAGAGGATGGGAATAGCAGCCCGTCAGGGGTTGAACAAGAAGGAGGTAACGACGTACAGGAAGGCATGGCTGCAACCGTGGTTCACTCCCCTCCTCACTGCTCCAAAGCCAACCAGTTGCCTATCATGTTCACTCCTCAGGTGAATCTTGTCCCTTTTCTGGGTGAAATTGAAAGCAATTTTCTTTCTCTCTGGCTATCTTCTTGTGGTTTTTGTTTGTAGGATTTGGATGTCATGCTAGGGGGTGTAGAGTTTTATGTCTCATGGGTTAGGAATTGATTGCAAGTTGTAATTTTCATTTTTTTCTTTTTCTGTGAAATTTTGATTTGGTTCCGAGTTGTTTTTACCAGAAAACAGAAGCTATTCGACTATCTTAAAAAAGTTTGTATGACTTTTCAATTCTCTGATATGCATGTTAGTTCTGTCCCTTCTTTCATCATTTTGTTTAAAAATTGAAACTGATTGAGGCACTTTGAAATCCCTTTCATACTGCAGAAATTGATATGAGCTTGTGCACTGATTCTGTCTGTGGAAGACGGTAACTTGATAGAAGTATATAGATACTTGTGGGCAAAGATATGGAGGTTTAAGAAGGAACAGAGAAGGAAACTAGGCTTATGTCCATATTTTAGGTGGTTAGAAATTTTCTGTATTTAATGATTTTGTGTTATGTTCATTCCTACCATGATTGGAATTTAGGTTTACTGTTTTTGATAGTCTTTAGGATTAAGAAAGGAATTTATACAGGGGCTTCTGTTGGGGCTATTGCTTGATCTCAAGACTTAATGGGTTTTCCTTGTCTGTTGTTTGTACTTAAGTGCATTATGATTTTCATCTCTTGCATTCCTTTACTTGGCCCCCCAATGTTTGGCTCACAGCTTATAATTTCTGTATTCCTTTGATTGGATTGCTATGGGAAGTACTTTGTTTGTGGCTGCTTGCAAGGATATCGCATGTTGTAAATCTCAGCTAATAAATGCAGTAAAGTTTACCCAACTGAAATACTTAAGTGCAACATGATTTTCATCTCTTGCATTTCCTTTACTTGGCTCCCCAATATTTGGCTCACAGCTTATGATTTCTGTATTCCTTTGATTGCATTGCTATGGGAAGTACTGACTTTGTTTGCGGCTGCTTGCAAGGAAATTGCATGTTGCAAATCTCAGCTAATGAATGCAGTAAAGTTTACCCAACTGAAATATTTCTGCTCATTATTTCTCTTCTTTTTTAGTCCATTTCTGGTTTGTCATGCAACAAATTAGGTATTACAACTGGTTGTGACAAAGCATAATCCTGTGGTAGATATTATCGTATTTCTTGGGAGTTAATAATCTTGAATGTGTTTGTCTTTTGTGCTATGGATATACCTGTTATTCATTCTAATGTCTCTTCATGTGATTGAGTGAATTTTCATTTGATGCCTGCATTATGTTTTCAGGTTCCAGTGGTTCCATTACAAAGACCTGATGAGATGCATATCCCTAGCCTTTCATCGATGCAGGCTTGGGCAGGGTATGAAGATATACCCAATGAACAAGGAATTCCAACAATGATTACATGGAGCTATGATGGGAAGACAGTAGCTGTGGAGGGATCATGGGATAACTGGAGAACAAGGTTTTATGGATTCAATTCCTTATCCCCTCTCTTTCATTTTCTGGGAAAAATTAGTGTTCTTTATGAATAGGAATAGCCATCTACATGTCTTACATATAGCCCCTTTGCTATGTTAATCAGAATACCTTTGCAGAGAAGTGGAAAAGACTTCACTATTATGAAAGTGCTGCCATCAGGTGTTTACCGCTACCGGTTTATTGTTGATGGACAATGGAGTTATGCCCCTGACTTGCCCTGTTACCGAGATGATGCCGGCAATGCTTACAACATTTTGGACTTACAAGTAAGTGCTTTGTTCTTCTTCTTCTTCATTTCTTTTTCATTTGTAAATATGGTCATGTGGTAGACAAGGATAGTGGTCATATATTATGGCTTTCCAATAAAATTCTCTCCAAGTTGTGATGAGTATATGATGCAGTCAAGAGATGGCAGTTAAAAGAATAATTTATATTATCTAACATGTCTTTGACTCTTTGAAATTGTGAATGTTTAGGAATGAATTTATAACATGCGAGGTAATTAGGGAAAATTATATTAGCCTTAGGATTTAATTTATTTTCCTGGTTTGCTGGAGATTTGGTCTCTTTCATTAGAGTTGTATTAGGGTTTTCTATATTCTCATACTAGTCTGTATTAGGGTTAAGTAGTTGAAAATGAATAAAAATTATTGCTTCCAAAAACCTAATTTCTTCTATTCCTTTTTCAACCTAGCTTCCATTTTCTCAACTGGTTCTACATCAGTAGAAACCTCCCTTTTTAGGACCTGGAATCCATTATTCATACACGTTGCAAGGTTTCTACATTTGGCTTTGGATAGTATTCATAATTGTTGGTGGATGTTAGAGAGACTTGTCTATTAATTTATATTATGAGAAATTCACTGAAATTCCAAAATCACTTGCAACACTACAACTCTTTAGGTCCTACCATGATACGAATTTAATCATAACTTACTGATGCAGCTGAACACATCAAAAGTTGAATTCATGTTCTTCTATTCCTTGCTAGCACAACAGCAATGAGGTTTATTTTTCTTTACACATGCTACAAAATTTCCTGGTTATTTGATTTTAATACATGTCCTGAGATCTTTCTCTTTAGATTTAGGTTCATGGAGCACATCTCTTTTCATGATGAAAACAAGTTGTCCACTACTTAGCCTTTGTTATTTGTAATGCACCACTTCCACAAAAATATTCTGTGAGAAAATGAGAAAGGCTTGTACAGTAACTGGCCAAACTATTGGTGCATATAAATATATACTGTGGGAAAATATGCTAAATGCTAATATTCAAGACTATGGGGGCAGGATTATGTACCAGAAGATCTTGGAAGCATATCTAGTTTGGAGCCTCCTCAGTCTCCAGAGGCAAGCTACAACAACTTGCAACTCGGAGGAGAGGATTTTGCCAAGGAACCACCTATGGTTCCTCCACACCTTCAAACAACGCTGCTCAATCTGCCAGCATCAAACATGGAGATTCTCCATTCATCAAGGCCTCAACATGTGATCCTCAATCATCTTTACATCCAGAAGGGAAGGAGTGGCCCATCTGTGGTGGCACTTGGTTCAACCCACCGATTTAAGGCCAAGTATGTGACAGTGGTGCTCTACAAGTCCTTGCAGAGGTAGTGTCAGGCAATGGCATTGTTCAGGTATTCACCTTGTGGTCTCCAGTCTTTAATGTAGATAATTTATAGTATAAATTAGTATGTAGAGATAGAATCTTTCTGATGCGCAAAGTATGTTAGGACTTAGGAGTCCTATATGGAAATTTCTAAGATTGAATTTTCACATAAAGCTAATATTTATTGGCTATCATTCCCACTATTGATTTGATGCATTACCTTTTGCATTGGTTTACACTTTAAGAGACAAATTTGTATGCCCTCTCAGAATTAAAATAGTTTAGGAAAGAATCCCGGGGTCCGGGTATTGGATACTAGACTAGATACTGGGCCTGTTGCCTGTTTGAAAGATTGAATATTGGAATCCAATAAGGTGCCGTGTTTCAAAAGGTCAGTCCACTTAGTTGAGACAACGAAACATACAAAGTGTTTGCCTTTTCCACCCATGATCAAGCTGAATATTTGTGGCCTGACATGACCCCTTTGCTCTGCCTTTCCTCTCCTGTGTTAGGGCCTCAGTAGCTTGTGGTCCTCTCGTTTTAGTGCACAGACTGAAACAAGCAAAAAATCTGGCCCTGTGAACATTTTCACTCAAACTATCAGCATAAATCCCGAGCATGGCAGGTACTTCGATCAAACATGTATCTTATATGAGTGGCCCTGATGAATTTTGGCCTCCTCAAATGGTACAATTTGATGTAATTTCTGTGGGGGTAGGGGAATGTGTCCTCTAGGCTACACACCACAACTATCCATGGCTCATTCAATGTTTGCAAAAATCTGTCAATACTTGGTTGAGTGGTTGTAAGCGAGCGCCATTTATTTGCATTTCCATTCACATCAAAGTAGGAATTTGAGCTGCGTCTCTTATATCAAAATGTTTTTTAAGTTTATCTCTAGACTAGACTAGAATCTTTGGACCACACCAACTTGAGCATATCTTCTGCAGACACAATATGGTTGCCGTGCGTCTGAAAATGCTGAAGACTGAAATTGGAGACAATGCTGTCACTTTCTTTCCATATACTCTTATCTTCCTTTAGCAGATTCTAGTAGC